CCCGCCACCCATGCTGAGCGCCGACGACCTGCTGGGCTCCCCCACCTTGCCTGACTGCGCCAGCAACCCCTTCACCTTCTCCAGCCAGGAGCTGGTCAGTCTCTTCACGCCTGGCATGGGGGTGCAGGTGCCCAGCGGGGGCTCCCCCACCGCCTTCTTGTTCAGGCCCATGTCCGAGTCCCCCAACATGTTTGACTCGCCGCCTAGTCCTCAGGACTCCCTCTCCGACCAGGAGGGCTATCTGAGCAGCTCCAGCAGCAGCCACAGCGGCTCCGATTCGCCCGTCCTGGACACCTCAAGGCGTCTTCCCATCTTCAGCAGACTCTCCATCTCCGACGACTAATCTGGGGTTTCCTCCTGCTCGCCCCCACCTCTATTACGATGTTAAGCTGAACTCCCCTCCCTTGCCCCATCCCCGGTGCGAGCTGGATGTTAACGTGTCCACCTGCCTGTCGTAGACCCACTGGCTTAAACCTTAAGTGCCAAATTACGATGAGAAGCAATAACGTTTACAAAAATTAGTGCCTTTTAAACACGTTCACTGTGACTGTATTTACCTCTCCAGCTGCAGAGGGCACCAGCAGCTCTGTGCACTTCCAGATGTGCAGGAAATGTCCGGATCCAGCTCCCTCCACTGGCCACGTACTGCATCACCCTGTCCCTTCCCAGCTGGCCAGTTCCCGCTAGGCTGCAGGCATGTGGACAACTGTTAACATCCAGTCCCCTCTCCCTCCCACCCCCTTAAAGACTAATCTTGCCTGGATCCGCTCAGGTCTGCGGGAAGAGAAGCTGAGAACAGACAAAGATTGTGCCACGAATGGGACTCTGGGAAGGAAGAAGAAAAACAAATATAAAAACAGATGGACTGTGAGAGACTTGATTTTGGTGCTAAAAGTTCCCCGTGTATTCATGTGACATCTTAAAGCAAATAAAGAAATGGAGGGGGTGGGCCCGACGGAAGTCATTCCACACACATACACACACATGTTCGTGTAAACAAAGTTCCAGTAGACATAGCTTTAATGGTTTTGCTCTAGAGTACTTTAGACCTATCTTAGAGCACTCACGCCAAGCTTTTTATTATTTTTTGTTTTTTTCTGGGTTTTTAATTTTGTATAACTTTTCAGAAATTGGAGAGCAAATTTTGCTTGTCACTGCACAACAATATAAAAAAAGCTTATTTAACTTATCAAAACGTATTTATTGCCGAAACCTATGCTTTTTTGTTAATTTTGTTCATATTTATCGGGATGATGAATCCATAGAATATATTCTTTTATGTTTAAATTATGATCTTCCATATTAATCTTAAGATTGTGAAGTGTCTTTTTTTTTCCTTTTTTCCCCACAGTTTAATATATTATACTACAATGACATTTTTGTAACTTTACACTTTTTTGGTTATTTTATTTTAAAAAATGAAAAATTAATTTAAAAAAATGCAAAAACTGTGTTTGGATTATTTATTTTAGAATTTCCCCCTCCTTTTTTTTTTTTTTTTGTGTTGGACTGCAAATTGAGTTAATGTGCTTCTTTGCCTTTCTCCTTCTCCTCCTCTTCCCCTTCTTCCTGGGTCTTGCAAACCTGGGCTTTAGAATGTACATACCTGAGCTCTGGTGTGAGACAGTTTGGAGGGAAGACATTTTACTTCTTTTATTTTATTTTTATTTTTATTTTATTTTTGGTATAAATTCTTCCAGGAGAAAAGCCTTTGGCTTAAAGTGCCTATCTGAAGACATTCCAAATACAGTTTGTCTTTGCGTTTCTGTATTCCAAGTTTGGAGTTTTCCTTGCCAAGGTGAACGGGACTGGCACAAAGAGAATAATGAATGTAATTTCTCTCCCCCTCCCCTCCCGTTACTGTTCACTACATTGCTTTTTCTTCCTCTCTGTGTGAGTTTATTTAAAAGAGAATCTCTTTTGTAACGACTGTTTGCAGTTTAAATCAATAAACCCCAAGTTTTTTCAAGAAACTGACAGTGAAGCTGGTTTTAATTGCAAAAATCGAGGTGCTGGTTTTAGATAACCATTCAAAGGCAGACAATTTCTTCCTTTTGGCTCCCCGAGATGCCCCCTGGGTGCTCTGGTACCCACCATCACTCCTCACTGATACCCTTGGTCCCATCAAGCAAAGGGGTGCACAGCTCTGTGCCACCCCACAGAGGTTTCCCCATGACTCTGACCCTCTCCATCTCTTCTTGGGGTCCTCTGCTCTTGAGCTGCTTGGTCTGTTCCTACAAGCTTCTTTCTCATCCTTGTGGCCTTTTCCTTAGTTTGGCTTTTGTCCCTGCTGTAGGGAGCAGGCCCTTTGGGGAAAGCCTATGCTGTGCTTTGAGGGAGGATGTTGAAGTTGTACGAATTTTCTAAATCTGAGGCCTGGCTTGGCAGTGGTCCTGGTTGCCTTTGTAAGTGGCTCTTTTGATATTTTATGAGGGAGAGGAACATGGACCCAACATCAAGTCTCTAAATGTGTTTATCATCCTGGTACTGCAATCAAGCCATTGCGCACCCTGATGCAACAGCAATCCCAGAAACTTCTGAAAGCAATGCTCTTGTTTAGGGGTGCTTCCTTGCCAGTGCTACTTACAGTGTAATTCTTGTGTTTTCCCCTTTGAGCTATCCTCTGGAGAAAGTCTGGCACTCTCCATCTGAAGTTGCTCCAGCTCTCTTCCAAATCAGGGGTGGAACATCGCTGCCCGACCGCTCATCAACCAGTTGTCTTGACATGCCTCAACATTAAGGAGAGACATTTCCTAATGCATGTTGGAAATGTTCCTGCCAAACAAAAGCTGCAGGATACCCCGGGGCTTACACCGACGTACCTTCTCTGCTCTTGGCTTCTTGCAGCTCGCTTTCTTGTGTGGTCTGGCAATGAAGGAGAGTCAGGCACAGGAAGGATGGTGGAGAGCAGCGTGGCTGGTTGAAGCTGGTTCCCATGAGCCGCGTCAAAGCTGCGTGGGGAGTTTGCTTGGCAGATGCCCACATACCTGGCATGCGGCTTGCTCTGCACACTGGAGCCTGAGAGAAGAGCCCTGAGCGCAGTCCCGCTGCTGCTGGCAAGCCATGGTGTCCTTCAGATACCTTCTGCTGATAGCCTTGCTGGCCCCGCACTCAAAGGTGGTGGGGCCTGTCTGAGAGAGAAGCTCCTACCTGGAAGAGCTGCTCCCGGCCACAGCATTTGCCCGAATCTGCCTCTTCAACACTTTCTGGAAGTTCGGCTATTCAACCCTTGAGAGGCCTATCTGATCTGGAGAGGCTCCCAAACCTATCGCAGGGGGTGCGCATGGAGCTCAAAACTGTTTGCTTCCTCTTTGGACTCTCTGCACAGCTCTTTAAGCAAATATGCTTTGCCCAGTTAATAATTGATGAAGGAAATAGCTGTATTAGTTGCATGGTGCTATTGGTATGACAAACGACTGGGACGCTGTGTTAAAAGCAGCTCGTTGCTCACCCTGCTTGTGTGCTTCCCTTCTCTTTCTGGGGCACTAGCTCTTGGAGGGCAGCAGCATTTTTCTTCTGTGAGTTCATTAATGCTAAATACTCTATCGCTGGGTATTTTGCTTTGTGAAACTAACCTTGAGCTAGGTCACGCAGCGCTGGAGAAGACCAGACTAGGCAGCAACAGCGGTTTACTTTGCATAACAGCTTTAAAGAGAAAGACTGAGCACATGCAAAGGCCTGCGACAACGTGGGGATTTGCCTGATCTGTTGCCATTGACTTTCACTGTGGCTTGGATACATGGCAGCAGCTTGTCTGCAGTGGGGCCTCTGCTTCCTCCAAACTGCACTGGATGAGTTGCCCATGCTGTTTCTTGCATGTCTATCATCTGCCTTCCTTAGCAGCTGGTCATGTGTTGTTAATATCCTAGCCAAGGCTCAGGAGAGTAAAGAGGCTTTTCTGGAAGGATAGTTTTGAGGTATATGATCCTGTGACGTAGGGGCTCTTCCATGCTCTGCATTAATCTTGGGACTTTCAGAGTGCTACAGGCATTAGTTGTTATTTACCTTTTTGACTTTGAAGTCAGGTGGCTCTAGTGCTACCGGCCTTCAACAATTTCACCTGGGTTTGGAAGTTACAGCCAATGTGCCCAGCTGTCTAATTTCAGGAAGGAATAACATGATGATGTTGATCCGCAGAACTCCAAGTGACTCAGATCTCACATTGGTTTCTTCCTCCTTCCTTTCTAATTTCTGCAAGAGTTGTAGGTGTCCAAGTGACTGCACCACCTACTGCCTTGGTACTGAGCAGCTTTGACTTTTGTACTGAGACATCTTTATCAGCGTGGTCATGAGATTGGGAGGCAGGGAGGAAAAGGAATCAGGAGGTTTGAAAACAGTAGCAATAAATCTGGAAAACAGGAAAAAGCAGGCCTCAATTTTCTCTCTTTAAACACCAAGCACAGTGAGTGCATGATCTGGGAATGGCGCTTGGAGCTCCTATTGCAAATCACATGGGGACACCAGGATCTACAGGACCTTGCAAAGTAGAGAGGTCATGATGGCACGTCAGGAAACGAAGAGGTCACTGTCAGGGGGATGACAAGGTGGAGATAAGTCTGCACAGCATTCAGGTAGCAAGGGTGAGAAAGAAGCATATGCTGCTTTGAGGCTGGAGACTTCTTAACAAATAGATGTTGGATACAAGGGCACCGATGGACTTCATCTCCCCAGTGTTGCTCAGGAGCAGCTGTAGTGGGAGAATGTCTGGATAGTGTAGCCTGCTGGATATTATCTGATGACTACGCTCAAGGATATGAGTATTAAGATGCAGCAATACATGCAGAAACCACAGCATGTCCTTTACACCTGCTAATTGCCACAATCTGTGTGGCCAGTGTTGGGAAAATCTGGCATGTGCCAGAGCCTGGAGAAAGAGGATTTGGGCAGCTGCAAAAGGGGAAGGTGCATTGGACAGTGTATGAGGGGTAAAACCAGAGCCATGAACATGAGGGAAGCAGTAGAACTAGTGCTAGATGGAAGCAGAACTGCGAGGAAGGGTTAACACCTGATGCAGAGGGTCTCCTGATGCGAGGGAGAGGGCGCGAGGCGCAGCCCCAGTGCCCCATAGCACGGGGCTCTGCTTGGCAGAGAGGTTGCGGGAAATGGTGAAGCTTGGGGCTCGGGGCCAGCTCAGCCGATCCCGCCAATATTAGAGGCCATTTCTGCCTGGTGATGTAAAATGTCCTTCGTCTGGAGACTCTCCGGCCTGTTAAGCAATGCCTGTTCCTCACAAAGCCTATACTTATTCCCTAGAATACTTCCAACGAAAAAAAAAGAGCTCCTCTAAGACACCCTAAACCAATACCTGCTGTGACTAAGCCCTGTGGGCAGCTCCGCAGCTGATTTATATCCTCCCCCTCCAAACTGAAGGGGTTAGAGTGGAAACAGACGCTGCGTTAAACATAGCCAAGGGCACCGCGCAACACAATTCTGCAATAAAGCGCGGAGGAAACGGGACGATGGGGCGGTTTCTGCCAGGCATGACGCGGTTTCTTG